AAATCGATGTAAACGAAAGTCCTGCCTCAATCGTAAATCGATGGCAGAAACTGAAGGCCCTACACCAGACATTCTGTAGGAGATGGAAAATGGAATACCTCATCGAAATGCAGAAACGCATCAAGTGGAAACATCCACAAACCAACTTAAAGCTAGGAGACCTTGTCGTCGTTAAAGAGGAAAACCTGTCACCAAATGAATGGAGATTGGGGAGAATAAACAAGCTACACCCAGGTTCCGACAACCGAGTAAGAGTAGTCGACATAGAAACAGCTAAGGGAGAAATCAGAAGGCCAATTGCAAAATTGGTCCCACTTCCGCCCTACAATGAGAACAGCACAACCTCGCAGTAAACTTCTTACCTACTCTTCATTCCACTTCACAAAAGAAACCCACCTATTCCACTTCTCTTCACCCTGCATCATCCCAAATCTCAAAGCGCATGGTTAAACATGCGTACCTACTGAAGTTATTTCATTATAGCATAAGCATCATTACAAGTGGCGATTATATCAGTGAGATATATTAACACAAAAAAAAGGTGATGGTTCTTACCCAGGAGCTCTGGGTCGATCTGGTAACACGGAACCGACCATCTCGGATTTTTTAACAGGTGATCAAAGTCATACGTTCAAAATTTATAGAGAGGGCGAAATTGGTTATAATTTTCTTAGTCCAAATTCATTGATTAGAACTGCAATGTTTAAGAAGAGAGGAAATATGTACGCCCGAAATATGTATGTGTATATAGGTAATATAGGTGGAGTATTTTCATATTTTCCTCGTAGTTATGCTGGTGTATATAAACCAAATTTCCCGAAATCTTAATAAAACCTTTAATCATTTCGGTAGAGATTTTTTGGTTCATCGCTTAACTTCAAAAAGGGTTATGTGCACTCGTGAAGAGGTGTCTGTACGAAAAGTAAATAGGATTCTGACGAAATTCTTCACATAGCAGCATTATTTTCATTGCTTTACCTAGTTTTTAGAAAATTCGGCGCAGAATCGGATGAGACCTTTCTTTACGAATTCCTTAAAATGCCTCTACAATTCAGAATACTCGAAAAAAAAAATGGTTTGCGGGGTATGTAGGCAAACGAAAACACAATAAATAACTACATAGGTGCGTATTCGCATGCTCGAGCCAGCAGCAATCTTTACACGAGAATTACTAGCATTTTTTATCATGCCTTTTTTGATATAACAGCCACATTGTGGCTGCTTTTCTTTATACATTCCGGATAATCCCATTTCACTGCCGGAATAAACAGAATGCGTTCGAAATATACGTTAACATGTCATTAGGAACGTTCTAACGAATAAGTAGACAAAAAAGTTTATTCCAAACGTTCAGAATGAGTAAAGAAATGCAGCCTGTATATGAACATATGTATCTACCGGTAAATTACTTATAACCAAATTCAAAAAAATAAGGAACACTTTAACTTATTCTTCATGAACAAGGCCATTAATAAACAACGAAATATGAAAACTTAGTTTTTAATTACTCACATTTATACGGCTTGGGATCGATGTGTGGATGATGTTGTTGTGTACTCGATTCTTTATGAGATTTGATGTGGTTAAGTAGTGGATTTTCCAAACCGTGAAGCGTTCTTAGCTGCGAATCTGAAAATGTACTTATTGAGTTGTTTCCATATAATTTAAACACATCGATCTTAAGGCAGAATTCGACTCATATTGCAAACTATGTTTAACATGAAAAAGTAGATTACATATTAACTTACTGCTATTATACTCAAAATACATGACCAACAGCGTAACACCCATACCGGCCAAAATTACATATTTACCCTCCACAAAGCGTCGTTCTATTAACTTCATAGTGTGATTAGAAAGGCCTAATGTGTTGCCGATAGCGTGAATACGACGTTGGGCACCCTTGAGAGGGTATCGTTGGTTAATTAAGCAGGACAGTATATTGCCTCCAGATGAAATCATTTTCATCTACACCTTGAGTAGCATGGTCTAGTTGCGTGTAATGGTGTAAAAAAAAGAGGAGGGAATTTCATGGTTTATCTTCAAATTTGCTATTGATGCCGTATAAGCACCGCAGCGAATTCCAGTTGACAATGTGTAAAAAGGCGAATGAAAGGTTTAAATAAAAAACTAAGAATGGGATTGTATCTCCTGTTTAGATATACATATTAAGCTATCATTTTAGAGTTGCAATTATTCGTACATTTATACCATTTAAAACAATACATTTAGATAAGAAGCGAGGGCATTTAAAAAAAAATCGAGGTCATGACAGGAAAACTAACCCATTGAAAGTAAAATGTAAACAAACCTTTAAATTATTATTTAATAAACTGCAAAATCTCTATCAGCCCAAGCACCGATCAAGTTACGTGATAAAGAAAATAATGGGACAAATTAATAGCCAAAACACAGTCGAAATCAAAGTTATTTGCAGCTTATTGACATAATTTTCAATGGAATATCCACCAAGAAACTGCAATTAACTTTACAATCGGCTTATTTCGACTATGAACAAGCCCCATTGTATTAAAAGTTTTACTTAAGTAAATAAACGAAAATCATAAGCTATAGCCAAAGTAGATTTGATGAAAAAGAAATAAAACAGGAATGCAATTCATAAAAAATGAAGTGGCACATCTTTTAATTGTTTTCTTGAAATCAATTTCTTATTTCAAAAGACTTTATTTCACTCCTACTATATTGCCAATACTAGCTACACAAAAAAGTTCAAGCAAAATTTTAAGACACTGAACAAACNAGAACTTGATTTAAGGCTAATCAAAGAAGTGGAGATCATATCTTCTAATTTTTTTTTAAACAAAATACGTAATAAAGAAAGGCAAAAACGCAATAAGATGTGGATTCATCCGAAAGAAATGCTAATGCCACCAGCTTTTTGGATTGACGAAATGCGTTCAAAATATTTCGTGCTGCAAAAACGTCGTGGCCACGGAGAAACACGTAGCTTTACTTCACTCCTTGTGAATACTTTGGATAGTGTATGGGACACAAAGCCACCACCGTATCGAATCCTACACCAGACACCCAATTCCGAAGTTTATTACGAAATCGCCATTGGGTTAACACAAGACGAAATCATTAAAGATTGGGAATGGCTTGCCGAACACCTTTTCAAAGTGCTCAACGAAATGGAAAGTGAGGAAGAGATTACAAACTTTACAATCTGCAAAATTCAATCTCTAAACGCACAAAATAATCACGATGAATCAGATGAATCGGCTAATTTCAAAGTGGCAGCTTCGAAATTCCAGCAAATTTTCGAAATGCCCAAAGAGGAGCGTTTGGTTACTACTTATGCTTGCACTTATGTCAAAATAAAATGCCACATCAAGGTAACTTGTACATTTCGTTAAATCACATCTGCTTCTATTCGTATATGCTGGGTAGTAAAACGAAGCGAGTCATAAGGTTTAGTGAACTGGAAGATATTACAAGACACGGGCAAATTATATATTTGAAAACGGTTAACAATGTTCACTATAATTTCACCTTATTTACTGATGTAAAAGAGGCATATGGACTCATTGAGCAGCTGAGCAAAATGGCTATACAGCAAAAGATACAGGACCCGGATAGTCCAATAGTCGATCATGATGCATCAGTATTTCAACGCTTCGATCGCAAAACATCAAATAAACCGGGACTTTTGCGGGATTTGACAGTCCGCCAAAAGTCTGAAGAGTATCGTAACTATTTTCGCTTACCACAGTCGGAAATTATTGATGGTCAAATAAGGGCCAACATCTGGACCCCATATTCGAAACGCTATGTGGGCGGCAACACTTACCTGTCTCGAAATTTCTTCTGTTTTCGCAGTGATGTAACCGACCTTGTCAGCCTTGTCAATCCAATGCGTAATATTAAGAGTGTTGAACAGAAGAATGATGGCCCACCTCGTTATGATAATCAAATCGTCCTACATACAGCTGAGAATGTACACTTTGTGTTCGCGCAAATTGTCGACCGGGAGTTGGTGGTAGAAAAAATTAGCGAGCTGCTATCACAATTCCACGTTCCTCTCAGCCGTGAGTGTGCAAAATACGATATATCCTGGAGTAAACAAGCCGCTCTCATGAACTCATTCAAGACTAATTTGAGTGAGGAAATGTTGAAGATTCAAGAACAAAGGCTGGCACGCTGGGAGTTACATTTCCGTGATTTTGGGCGCGGCATTTCAATGTTTCGTACAACCGAAGTAATTAATTTGATTGTTGAAGGCATTCCTGATAAACTGCGTCAGGAGATCTGGCTAGTATTTTCCGGTGCAATACACGAGAAGGATATTAATCCTGGCCTATATAAAGACTTGGTTGAAAAAGCTGCATGTATTAAACAATCCTCTATACACGACGAAATTGATCGCGACCTTCACCGTTCGCTGCCAGAACACCCGGCGTTTCACCATGCAGACGGTATAGGCGCACTGAGACGCGTATTGCAAGCATACGCATTGCGCAATCCTCACGTGGGTTACTGTCAAGCCATGAATATCGTTTCATCAGTATTTCTGCTATTTTGCGACGAAGAGAATGCATTCTGGTTGCTAGCAAGCCTTTGTGAAAACTTGCTGCCTGACTACTACAAAGACAAAGTAGTAGGTGCACAAATCGATCAAAGGACCAATATTTACGCAGGTGGCGTCGCACGAAGATGGAGCGCACCAGCGTAAAGTTAATGTAACGAAAATAGGAGCAAATAAAAGACACAGTGGTTTTAGTGCAATGAAATTAAAATCGTTTTATTTGTAAATATCTATGAGTGTGAATAGTGTGGCACACAAGAGTTGGCTTACCGAACGTGGTGTGATGGCTGACGTGATCTCCTTGCTGTCTTCTAAGAAGTGACAGAGTGCTAACAAACGAAAAGGGATGTAGCCCACCGCACGGTAACTTTCGTTAAGTTTCCCCTCCAATAAGTTACCGTACAGTGGGGCTTATTGTTAGAGGCTGGAAAGATAGCCGTAACTTATGTATGTGTTTGTGTGCTCTTACATCAAGTGACAAAACGCAGATTAGGGTGGTGCAATATATTTAGGTCGCGGACCTAAACAGAGCCGTTTTTGAAAAAACTCATTTTGAATGAAAATTATTCCCTTTCTTTTAATAATTTTCACGCACCCGCTCTAGATGACAAATTGATACATTACAGTTGATATTTATTTTGTAATGTAACTTGTACGATTTATATACAACCAAGTTAGTATATGGTTCAAGTGTCTTAGCTTGTTTTATGCACAAAATGCCGATAAATTCAATTCAAACGAGAAGATTGTGCGCGCACAACATTTGCTCTTTTTTAGTTTCGAATATAAGTATTCTTTATACTTGCAATAGTTTTTGTCAAGTATATCTACAAAACAATAACACGTTTGCAAGACCAAAAGACCATGCATGCATGTAGGCAAGGGTCTAGGATTCTATAGCGAGCAAGCTGTAGAATCCCTACATTCCGACTTTAAAGCAACTGGGACAAATATAAAGTATTCGTTAAGCATCCGGAATATCCATCTAAATTACTGAGAGCAGTACAAGAATACAATGCTCAACATGTATAAGCCAATGTTTAAAAAATTTAAAGGGTTGTATGTAAAACACCATGCTGCTCGCCTATTAGTTGTCCAAAAATACATATATAATCTATATATAAATACGCTACAAGAAAATTTTGCAATCCCTTTTTTGAAGGCACCGTTCCCTCGATTTCTATGAAACATACACCAATTAAAAGGATATAACTTCTTCTAATCCAGGAATGTTAACCCCGATATATAGGGGGCGTGGCATCTGACATATAGACTAAAATGTGAAAACCACAATATTCATAAAACCAATTACGCTGGGGAACTGAAACCTAGCACAGATGCATAGATTGTAAATACCCTACTTACAGCGAAAAATGGTAGGTACTGGTAAAGTGGGCGTGGCACTTCCCATACAAACTGAAATTCTCATATCGCTTATCTCTAGAACCACTTATTGTAAGGTTTTGGAATTTTATACACCTACATTTATACAAGTATAAAATCGCACGAATCATTCAACTGGGAACCATTTTCTCCCAGATTTTAAAATCGGTTTGAATAGTTGTTTTTTCGTGCAAAAGCTTTTAGAAGTATAAGTGTGTTTGTCTTCCGATATTTGGCGCAGGGATTGAAAGCTATCCTAAAAAAAATCATATTTATGATCAGATTTGTTTCACTTTTAGAACACATATTAGTAACATAAAATTTGGTGTAACTTTGTGTGAAGGAAATATATTGGGCTTTGGCCCAGTCTTGACCAAAACCCGCGTGAAACTGCCATTAGAGAAGGAAATATTATCTTCTGTTGTAAATCTTCAAGATACTTTCTCAACCGTTAACGATTCTGATGAAAAAAAGAAAGAGTATATGTAGATGTGGGCAATTTAGTTTTTAACCTCCAAGAGGCTCTCAGACAAATATAACCGAAAAACTTATTTAAAGTCTGAATTGGTATATGTTTGACATATTAGTCAGTGATGAACATCCCCTGCAGTACGGGGGAGCGACTACAGGACTGCTGAATCGGTAGCTACGTGATAAACACCGTCAATTACCGACCGACTACTTGCAGTGTATTTCATCGATTACTTTAACAAGGCAATGTCCTAGGCGGTAGTCACCTTCGGATCTCTCTGCACTACCGGGAGTTACTAAAGTAGTCACTTTCGTGATTTATGGGCGCCCTCTGTCGTAGTTTTTCGCTATTCTGCTTACGACTGGTTCGACTCTGCACTACCATGTGCACTACCACGGGTTAATAGAGTAGCTACTTACCTAGGAGTCGGTGCAGTAGCGGTTCAAAAGTAGCTATTGACTCCAGCAGTACTGGAGGATCTTATCTGTACACACAAATACATATGCATATTTTTTACAAATGAAAATCGAGGTTCCTTTTTCCGTCTAATTTCAAAAGCAACTGAAGAAATTTGGAGGAGACTTGATAGAATTAGCATTAATCAATCCGGTATTAACGTTCACAATTCGATTTTAAGTTTTCCTGTAATTTCGCTATAAATATGCTGGCGGACTTCAAATGTAATTCGCATAAAGGAGTTAGTATTTGTGACAGGTAAAATTCAAAATTGTATGAAAAAGATGTCGAATTCCGACAACTGGGCGATACTTGTTCAAACATCTTTGAACATGAGTACATATCTGCCAGGGTAATAAAATTTAACATAAAAAATACGTGCATATGTATGTACCTACTTAGACAATAACATATACTCATCCATATGAACATGTATTTAGAAAAGGATCGTTTTGTCTGCACATGCAATGCAAGAAACAAAACATACTTATTTACATACAGAAAATATTTACGTATATGTATACAGTCCACTACTCTGTCAAATGTATGATAAGCAAAGCAATCGAAATTCTCTGCGATCTTGTTGCCTGAGTACGAAGATTGCTGCTTATCATAACATAAATTTAAAATCACATAAATTGTAATAAATACTGAAATAAGAGATCAAT